CAGTCCTCACACTCATAGGGCTTCTCTCCCGTGTGGACGCGCTGATGGATGACCAGGTCCCAGCGCCGGATGAAGGTCTTCCCACAGTCAGCCTCACACCAGTAGGGCTTCTCTCCCGTGTGGACGTGCTGAGGGATGACCAGGGCCGAGGCTTCCACAATGAAGGTCTTTGTCCCGCAGTACTCGCACTCATAGGGGCCTCTCCCCGGTGTGGATCCGCCTGTGCTTACTCAGCCCCGAGCTCTGAGCAAAGTCTTGCCAACACTCGTGGCAAAATGCGCCGCCTGCTCCCAAGGGCACGTTTCTGCCTTCTTTGGAACCCGCCCTCTTTTTCACCAACTTCTGCGCAGGGAGACATCTGGCCCGCGGCTCCCCCTGGGGGCACAGGCTCTGGCCGGCCTCCTGCTCCAGTGGGTCCTCGTCCCCAGGTGAGCCCCTTAGCTTAGTGCACACGTCCCCACCTGAAACTACAAATGGCAGCAGCTGTCACCACGTCCCGGGACGGCCCTTGGTGAGGGCCAGGGAGGCAGTGGACAGAGGTCATGGATGCCAATGGGGAGGGTTTCAGGCAGGAACAAGGAGAGGAGTAAGGAGTGAGAATGGGGTGCTGGGGAAGAAGGAGGCCTGAGAATAAAGGTGCAAAGTGGGAAGGAGAGAGTGGAGTGGGGGAGGGAGGACCGAGTCTGTGCTGGGCAGACACTCAGAGGCTCTGAGCTCTAAGACGGGAGGCAGCCCATGTCCCCAGATTCCACACTGAAGGACTGGCAAGATCACAGTGAACAAGGCAAGTGGAGGGACTTCTGGAGTGTTCTGGAAGCAACAGCCAAGTGAACACCCAGGACTGAGTGTTCACCAGTGCCAAAGACTGCCACCCTTGCTCTTGTCCCAGTCAGGTGGGTCCCCAAACAACGGGCTTTGGTGGGGACAGCCTAAGCGGGAGGGCCCACTGGGCCCAGGGGGCTGTGTGACCCCAGACCTCAGTTGGTGACCTGTGTGTACGCCCTCCTCGCTGAGCTCCAACACCGCGCTTGGGAACCGAGGTGACCGTCAGCTACACACTGTCGCCCACCAACATTCCCCGAGGAGACCCCGCAATGTGCACTGTCAGGCCGGCCGCAGAAAGGGAGTGGACAAGCACGGGCACCTACTATGCACCAGACCCACATCTCCTATGAGCTGGATCTGCTTCACTGACCCCTCAACCGTCAGGAATGCTGGGAGGAGAGACGAGCAGAAGTGAGACTCAATGGTTACAAAGCTAGTCACAGACTGGTTAATCTCTGCACTTCAGAAACTGTTCTGAACCCAGTGAAAACTGCAATAGCTTCTAGCAGCCCAGGAGGCATGAATACCCAGAGGACATCAGAAAGCACGAGAGAGCAGGGCCCGCCTTACCGGGGGAGACCAGGCTGTCGCAGTCCTGCCTTGCATCCCGGCAGAAGTTCACCTGAGGCGAGTCCAGCTGTGTCCATCTGGGGCAAGTCCAGGAACCTGGAGAACTAAGGAGGAAAATCTCTGGGTGAGATCTGCCCTGGCATTCGGCCTCTCTGCCCTGTGGAGTCCAAGTTCAAAAACTGGAATATAAATTCCTGCAAGAAATTTATAGAGTGTGCTCCCTCCCTAAACCTGACTCCCTGCAGCTCCAGCCCTGAGAGGTGCGTGCTCTGCAGACACGGAGCCACACACCAAGGCAGGATCCTTGGTCAGATATATCATGGGAGCCACATAAAACAAGCTTCTCATCTGAAGAGCCTTTGGACTTTGCTAAATTTTGGCTAAAATGTTTTTAGCTGTTGGGGGCATTCTGCTGTGGTTTTGAAAAACGAAGAGTCAGACAGGGCTGATTTAGGAAGGCAGCCACGGGTGTCTGGTTATGGAACTTGCTCAGATTCAATAGAGAAAGTAAAAGGACATTTCGGGGTTCCCTATAGGCAACAAACTCCGAAAGGGGCATGAAACAGTGTATGTGGGCCAGACTCTTCTTGACTGGGAAATAAAGATTACATGTGGCTGCTGTGTCCTTGCGGTGGGTCTTGGTCTGCGCACCTGCTTAGGACATGTACAGCCACATCCTGTGGGGGGAGTTTCGTGTTATTAACAACAGCTCTAGGGCTTGGGAGATTGATACTCTTAATTAGCAATAATCCTCCCATCTGTGGCTCTTCTGACTGGCTTGACAGATTCTGTCCTCCCTGACACCACCGCCTAAGGCTGTACTATGAGTGTGTCCATCTGCATCTCCCTGCAGGATGCAGGGCTGCACAGCAGCAGGACTTGGGTCACTGCCGGCGCGGACTGCATGCAGGAGGCCGCCATAATCTGTGTTACATGCTGGAGAACCAATTCTTTCCAAACCCAAATTTTTTTAAAACTTATTTTTGTTGGGGCCTCCCTGGTGGTGCAGGGGTTAAAGACAGAGCTTTCAAGCTATCACCAGCCACTGCAACACAAATTCAATCCCCAGCCAGGGAGCTACCCACATGGCGCAGCAGACCTGTCTCCCTGCTGCTCCCCTCAGCAGTATATTCAGTAGATCTGCCTGTTCTGCTCCCCACTCTCTCTGGTGACTCCTCTCACGCACCACACATCTGGCCTGTACCCCAGCTCTTACATGCATAAATAAATAAATCTTTAAAAAAAAAACACAGCTAATTTTTGTCCGGTCTTGGTTGGGAAAGTGTTCCACCACTGTTTGAAATTTGTCTTTTACTTTCCATCTCAGTGTAAGTCCATCAGTGACGGGGTTATAAAAGAACTGTCAATGGATCTGTTAGGGGCCCGCCCCTTAAATAACGCTGGATGAGGCATGAGGAACTCACTGCCCAGAAGGTCCTCCTCACTTCCATGTGGTAAGGGCTGGGATCCCAGAGGTTCATACTCGAGCAGAGCCTTCGCCGACTGGAACTGGCCACTCTGGGACCCTCGAGATGGTGTCCACATGGCCATCTCGCAATGTAGCAGCTCTTGCCCCTGGTGACTGTCGGGGACCTGGAAGTCACCATTAACTGTTATTTCCATGTATTCATCAAACATTGCAGTGCACCTGGCACTGTTTCCACTAAAAGATTATCTTATTTAACAGATAACAACCTTCAAGCTAGTACAATTATCCCCATTTTAGTAGTGGGGAAACTGAGGCATAGAGCTTCAGCAGGGGATCCAAGCTCTCCAGCTAGTACACTGTATGCCAGGACCTGCATGCCAGGATGAGGCTCAAGCAGAAGGGCTCCAGGGCCCACGCTCCCAGCCATCACTCTGCTCCCTTCTCACACACTGCGCTTTTATGGAAACTCTGGGAATTGGCGCTCAGTTCTCAGGAATACTGAGATCTTTCCTTACCTGAAAATTGAGGATATTAACTTCTAGCTTAATGGGCTTGGGGAGTTTCACAACGCAGGCCGTGACATATGGTACATCCTTATAAAATTCAGTTTTCCTTCCAGATCTTAATAGTGAAATTATAACATTTAAGGTCCTTTCTCAAGGGTGGCTCGGAGTTCCCCACGTCCTCTGGAAAGAATGAAGAGCCTGGTGCTAAGACCTGACACAACTTGGCGCTGTTGCAGGCTGGGTGTGGTGGATCTGAGTTGAGCACCTGACCTCCTGACTGTGGGTTAGGGGTCTCTGGCCACAGGGCCTCTGAAGGATAGAGCGCAGGGCAAAGCTAACGCAAAGGGGGAACACTCCCACAGACAGGCAAGAAGATGCGCGTGAAAGCTCACTTTCCACCAGAGGTTTTGAACCTGTGATTTCCCCCAAAATGAACTACTGATTATGAATTATAGAAAAACTATTTTTACTAGGCTCTCAAAAGATTGAGTATTTCCTTCCTTTAGGAGTGGAAACAACAAACAATGTGGCGTAAGCACACCCAGAACTCTGTCAGCAATAGAAACTGCAGATGTTTTCCTGACACATGGCAGCCAGGCAAATACCATCAGTCACTCACCACTCTGACACCCCAGGGATTAGGCCAGTCCCGAGCTCTTACTCTTTCCTGCATTCATTTCAAAAAGCATGTGACTTTATCACAGATTTGCCTAGTGCTTTGCTAACCATATCTCAATATAACTAAGTTTCCCCATAACCCTTTGTACTTTCCTTTGTGTGTTGGAAAATGCTATTATGACACAGGGTCCGGGGCCTCCACCTTGCTGCCCAAGAGAGCCTGAAAACTTCTGGATCACGAGGCACTGCCTCCATGGGACCCGGAGGCTTAGGAAGGGGCAGACCCGCTGCCAGACACTACACCTGCCTCTACCTGCGGCCTGGGCGGGCCCAGCTGGCTCTCCAGATGCTCCAGCAGCAGCACCGCCTCCTCCCCGCTCTCGGGGTGCTGCTCCCGCACCCAGCACTGCAGCTCCCCGGGGAGGATGGTCAGGAACTGCTCCAGCACCAGCAGCTCCAGGATCTGCTCCTTGCTGTGCGTCTCGGGCTGCAGCCACCGTCGGCAGAGCTCCCGAAGCTGGCTCAGCGCCTCACGGGGGCCCTCGGCCTCAGGGTAGCTGAACCCTCGAAAGCGCTGGCGGGAGCGCTCAGGACCAGGAGGGAGGCCGCCTCCTAAAGCAGCCATCTCTGCTAAGGCAGCGGCTTCTTCCTCCTCCCCCTTTATGATCAGGAACCCCATCGCGTCCTGTGCACACTGGGCATCCAGGCCTGTGCCTTCCTGGAGTTCTCTGGCCATCCTGGGCCAAGGCAGTGCTCAGTCTCACTCCAGCTGGGTGCTATATTTCTGCAGAAGATTCCTAGAAGTGGGAAATCACGATTAACCAGTGAAATCTCAAGCAGTTCCCTCCTCGTCTACCCAGGAGCCCATGGACAACGCTGGGGAGCAGCTGCAAAGATTTCATCCTTGCCTTTAAGTGCCTCTGCAGCTTCATCTTTAACATGACTCCAAACTTGCTGCCCTCAACAAACTCCCACCACAGATACCATGGGCCTGGGCCCGGCTACACGCAGCGTACCCCCAGATGTCCAGGCTAGTCAGGAGAGAAATTGCAGGCAGCTGTGTCAGAGGAAACACCTCAGTCTTTGAGGGCCGTCTCCATGTCTCACCCACTTCTGAGTGACCCCAAGATCCCTGCCTTACCCCTCAGGACTCTCAGCATGAGGTGGCGGCCCATGCCTGGACTGACTGCAGAGAACTGATTTCTACGAACAACCACAATGAGCTTGTCAGCTCCCCCTCCCCAGTGCCTCCAGGCCAGAGCCCGCCGGGCCAACGCCTTGACTTTAACCCACAGCTGAGAACTCAGCTGAGCTGGCCTGGCCTTCTGACCCACAAACTGGGATATAAGAAAGAGCTTGTTTTAAGCTAATGAATTTGTGGTAAGCTGTCTGGCAGCAATAGACATGAACAGCAGGTCCTTAACCACTCAGAAGGCACTGCAATGAGGGAGGGGGAAAGACAGGACAGCAGGCCCGGGATGAGAGGAATCAGACTGAACATTTTTAAGGCCTGGACACCTGGTGGGTGAGGCTCCCAGTTTGCTCTGATGTGAGGCTTGTCCCAAAACTCACATCAAAAACCATTCATGGGGGGCCTCCCCGGTGGCGCAGCGGTTGAGCGCTGGGTTGCGAAGCTGCCCGCGGCCTCTGCGGCGCTGGTTCGATCCCCGGCTGCTCCCCGGCCACCACAGGAGGGTCCCACATGGCGCGCAGACCTCTCCTGCCGCCCGCTGCTCCCCTCAGCAGTGTACTTCGGTCCTTCTGCCTGCTCTGCTCCCTGCTCTGGCTCTGGTGAATTCTCTCACCCTCCCGCGCTTCTGACTGTACCCAATGCATGTATAAACAAACAAATAAATAAATAAATACATAAATAAAAATACATGCCTCTTAAAAAAAAAAAAAAAAAAAAACCATTCATGGGGCATCCCCTGGTGGCGCAGAGGTTGAGCGCTGGGCTGCGAAACTGCCCGCAGCCTCTGCAGCATCAGTTCAATCCCCAGCCGCCGGGGAGGGTCCCACATGGCATGCAGACCTCTCCTGCCGCCCGCTGCTCCCCTCAGCAGTGTACTTTGGTCCTTCTGCCTGCTCTGCTCCCCTCTCTGGCTCTGGTGAATTCTCTCACCCTTCCACACTTCTGACTGTACCCAGTGCTTGTATAAATAAATAAATAAATCTTTAAAAAAAAACCCAAAACCATTCATATCCAGATGAAAGGAAGCCTCCCCAGGCCTCTGAGCTTTGAGCTGAGGGGGATCCGTACCTTCTGCCTCAAAAACATGAAAGAAGCAGAAAACATCACCACATCTCAGCCTGCAGAAAGCTCCTGGTCCTGTCCACCCCCTCACTCCAAGGCTCTCCTCCCCTTCAAGGCCAAGCTTCCTGAAAGGAAGTCCAGGGGACCCCAACTCTCGCCTCACCCCCACTACCCTCCGCACACTGAGCACGGCCAGTAGCCACATGGGCTCCGGCAGAATTCACCACACACGCCTCCTCCCAACTTCCGGTCCCCATGGCTTCCTCTCAGGCAGTGGATACTGCTGTCCACTTTCCGAAATGGTCTTGTCCCTAGATGAAAGGGCCCCCTTCTCTCCTGCTTTGCCCTCCTGTTTCTTAAGCCCCTCTCACAGTAGGGTAGGTACAGACTCTCAAGTCACCGTCCTGGGCTTCATGACTAATGCACTGGGTGGCCTGGTAAGCTACTCAAGGCTTCGCACCTTTGACAGGGACAGTGACAGCAGATGGGACGCTGTGAGGATCCAGTAAATTTGTATATTAAGTTCTCACCATGCAGCCTGGCTGTGGGGAGTACAATGTAACTAGCAGCAATGGTATGATTCTCTGGTCTTTCTTTTTTAAAGATTTATTTATTTATTTATACAAGCACTGGGTACAGTCAGAAGCGCGGGAGGGTGAGAGAATCCACCAGAGCCAGAGTGGGGAGCAGAGCAGGCAGAAGGACCGAAGTACACTGCTGAGGGAGCAGCGGGCAGCAGGAGAGGTCTGCGCGCCATGTGGGACCCTCCTCTGGTGGCTGGAGAGCAGCCGGGGGATTGAACCGGTGCTGCGGAGGCCGCGTGGCAGCTTTGCAACCCAGCGCTCAATCGCTGCGCCACCGGGGAGGCTCTGGTCTTTCTTCTTGTCCTTTTTCTCTGCCTACCTTCTTCCTCAAAGCTGTCTTTAGTGTTTACTAAATTTTAATTCTCATTTCCAGGACTGAAGACTGCTGGCCCCTCTCCAGGGCTTCCTCCCAGACAGTTCTATCTAAAATCTTATAAACAAGTCAAAATCAACACATCCCAAACCAAACTGGGCTCTTCCCCAGCACCCATCTGCCCCCCTCCCCAGCAGGATACATCACCCACTGGATAGTCTCACTTTCATCTCTGACTTGCCGCACTGGAACGAGAGCACTTGATAACTATGGCAGGAAATGCACACGAATACACCACCACCATCTGTGCTACAGACTCCATTCAATTTTCAGCACCTGCCATCTTTGGGGCACCTGTAGTGGGCCCCAACCTGTACAGAGTTCCCACCTGTAGTGGGAACACCTGACACCTTTAGGTCAGGCAACAGCGTTCAGGCTCCAGCTGAGCAGAATGAGAGGTGTTGAACTGGGAGATCAGTTCCAAACTGGAAGAGCTGATCAAATAAGTAAATATATCAACGATTGTTCATCTTTGTTCTCATCATTGTGGAAAAGAGTTAAAATATGGAAAGGGGAAATCTAGAGTGAACCCCAGAATGTGGGAGTGGAACGAAAGCTGTCAGTACGAACTCCATTTCCACTATTCATTGTGACAAATAGAAAAATAGAAGTTGCAGGGCCTCCCAGGTGGTGCAGCGGTTGAGCGCTGGGTTGCGAAGCTGCCCGCAGCCTCTGCAGCATCGGTTCAATTCCCGCTGCTCCCCAGCCACCGGAGGAGGGTCCCACATGGTGCGCAGACCTCTCCTGCCTCCCGCTGCTCCCCTCAGCAGTGTACTTCGGTCCTTCTGCCTGCTCTGCTCCCCGCTCTGGCTCTGGTGAATTCTCTCACCCTCCCCCGCTTCTGACTGTACCCAATGCTTGTATAAATAAATAAATAAATAAATCTTAAAAAAAAGAAAAATAGAAGTTGCATATGTATCTGATACCCACTCAGGCTCGGAATAAGGACCTTTCTGGAGGCTCAAAAAACTGTCAGCTGTCCAGCACTGAGGAAGACCCAAGGTTTCTTCTGGACACCAAGGGCCCCAGACCATCTTCAATGCATAAAAGCCTTTCTTGCTCCTGGTAAATCTAGGCAACCAAGGAAAAGGCATCCCCAAGTCTTAGGGTCTTGGGAGTCTGAAGAGCACAGCACACAACACAAAGCAATTTGGGCCTCTGCTTTGGGATAGGCTCTTCTTCAGAATAGCTTAGATTTCTCTCCTAAGTGATAGAAACCGTTCATTATAAAGATAATTGAGGAATGACACTAACACTCAAAGAAATAGTAAGAAAAGCCGGTTCCCGAGATCGCTCACTAAAGATGATACGTCATCAAGAAATAATGCTAACAACAGTAGCAATAATAGAAAATCCCTAAATTGGTTTACCCTGTGCTCTGCCATTTTAAGTGCCTTTATGCATATTAAGTCATTTAAACCTCACAAAATAGCCAATGAAGTGACAGCACGAGCCCATTTTGTGAAACGATAAAATGACGCCCAGAGAGGTTAAGGACTGGCCAAAAGTCACGTGGCTAAGAATCAGTGGCAAGAATCAAACCACGGAGTATGACTCCGAAGTCCAGGCCGCCTCCAGTACCACCGAGTTATGTAAACTTCCTAAAGAAATCCCATACACATTCCCACCCCACCCCCACCCTCTCCCACATACACCCCCACACCCCACCCCACACCCCCCACACACCCCACACACACACACACACGAACGCGGGGACAAAAGAACGGCGCAACAGGTGGAGGAGAGTTACCAAAGGAGATCTTAACCCGCACCAGGGACTCGGCACCCAAAGCGTGACCCGACTCACCACGCGCTCCCCGAGTTCCGGAACCTAGCAACTCCGGCGGGGCGGGGCGGGGCGGGGCGGCGCCGGGCGACTTCCGGCCTCTCTAGCCGCCCCCCGCGCTCGCTCGTCTGCTCCTCCCCGCGCGGCCCCGCCCCCGTCCGGAGGGCCGCCTTCGAACGCGCATTTCCCAGCAGGGACGCCCGAGAAAGCGGGGTGCAGACTCGAGCTCCCCTGGCCTCATTTGCGAATCGAAGGAAGTACAAAGGATTCAAATGATATTTTCGTGTGAAGTCAGAAACCCTTCTACGCTGACATTCCTACTGCTTCTGTCCTGCTCCAATATTCCTCGCTTTCCAGCCACTAATCCCGCCTAGCACGTACGTTTATTGCCTAGTTCTGGTCACGGCATCTACCACGTCCCAGGGACCAGCCTAATAGATTTACAAACACCCGCGGTCTGATTTCAGTTCACAAGCAAATCACCTTTTACGTAGTGTACATGCCCACGTCTCCCAGACTCGGAGAGGCCAGAAAACAAAACTTGGAGAGTAAAAAGCGAGCAGCAGCCGCAGACCTTCGCGCTCTCACCGCCTGCCCCCCACCCCCACCTCCCCTTTGTGGAAGGAGACGCCAGGGCAAGAGGACGGATTCGGGAAGGAATGGGTGAGGTGGGGACAGGCCCTTCCAGCCCTGACGTTCAGCGTTTCTGTGACCACCAGACTCCCGAGGCCACAAATCCTCTGCCCTCGCGCCCATTCTGGCCGACTTCGGGCTCCGAGCTTGGGAACGAGGTGGACACCAAGACGCAGCGGCCTCCGGAGCTCCTAGAGAGGACCAGAGGGCGCCTAGAGGGGCAGGGCTTGCTGGGCGACTGGGCTCAGGACGGTGACGCACTTCCGGCCTTTGTGGTTTGTCGGTTGTCGGGGTGATTGGATGCCGCTACGGGTCTCGAGCGGCCTGAACCCTGGAGGTGAGTGTCAGACCATGGTCCCGACCCGCCACGCCGTGGGGTTGGCGTGGCGGGGTCTTCTGCGCATTCATGGCGCCCGGACACGGGCGAGGGAGTGGGAGGTCCCGCCCCTGCCCCTGTTGGGGTCTTGGGGAGACCCCTGGAGGGGGCGGACCTTTATAAGGAGCCGGAGGTGAGGCGGTACCAGAGGGCGTCCTACTGCGGGTCTGGCGTTTTGCCAATAAGCCTATCACTTTAATTTAACTAGTGTTCAAAGTACGCAGTATTTGTCGCATCCATTTATTTTCTTAATATTTGCGAATCGCAGCATCATGACTTGTCACCCCTAAGCTCTAAATAGTTCTGTTATGAGCATCTCTAGCTCTAGACACCTTATAACAAAAGGCCTGGAAGACTCAACATTGGGACTTGCCACAGATTTATGGATGTACCTTTCTTCAATATTGTATTGACCCGGTTAATTCAGTTACATTCCCTGATTTTTTTTTTTTTTTCCAATGTTGTGCAATTTGGTGATAGCTGATTTCCTAAAAGGGAACAGGCAAGTACTCTATCTCATCTCATGTGTGAATGGAGTGAGTTCTTTAACGTCACCTTTGGGAAACACCACAGCATATAGCAGATAATGTTCACTAACGTGGTCCAACTCAATGTCCCTGATTCTAAGTCATTCTTTTTTGGCCCCATACCTAGGACTGATTTTTTCCTGCTCTTTGCTCCCTGGATATGCAGTTGAAGCCTCTATTATAGCACTCATCATTTGATATTTTAACTGGTTTTGTATGTCCTGTTCTTCACCTAAAGTTACTATATATTGACTATCTACCCATCTGTGAAATCACTTCGTTGTTTTTTTTTTTTTCTTGGAATCAATACTTTATTTCAAAAGGTACAACAGTCAGGAAAAGTACTGAGGGTAGTCTGTGAAAAGTTTCCTTTCTTGTCCTGTAGTTTTACCTGGTCCCTCCTCAGTGGCCACCCTTCTCTTGCCGTAGACTGTGCTGTAACAAACGCAGGACTTGGTGGCGGCGTGGAGTGGTAAACATCTACCCCGCACTTGGATCTGTGGGGTTTAGCTGACCAAGCGGGGCTGCCCAGCAGCTCTGCATGTTTCAAGGGGTAGTTGGCTGAGGATGATCTCATCTACTCAGTGGGATGATGTGGTTCTGTCTTGTGTCTTACCATCTGAAAGCCAACAGGCCTCCTCCTGGCAACCATAGGGGCAAGGGCGAGCGGGCTCCATCTTGCAAGCACTTTTTTACCCTCTGTGTCACACTCTAGTGTCACACTGACCAGATCTGATCTCAGAGGGAGGGCACTGCCAAGTACATGGCTGCACAGAACAGGGAAGAATTGGGGCCATGAGTATATCCTGCCTTACCCTTTCTCCAGTTTGTAAATATATACATGAAATCTTCCACCTTCTTTTATTATCATAAATGATAGTGTGATATTTGTTGTTCTATACTCTGCTTTTTTTCCTCCAGAACATCATTTTGTACATTAATACATAATATTTGCCATCAGTTGTATCTTCCTAAAGAAAACTAAGTCAGGGAATCTTAACTCAGTTACCCTTTCACCCCAAGCTAGAGTGAGCCTTTTAAATTCATCCCAGAATGGCTTCAACAGAAGAACCAGATGGCCTTAAGATTGTGAAGGTGGAGGATGACACAGTCTGGGACCAAGACCCCTACCTTGGAGAGGACAGCTTTTCTGGCCAGGAGACCTCCCGCCAACTTTTTAGGCACTTTTGTTACCAAGAGACTCCTGGTCCCCGAGAAGCCCTGAGCCGGCTCCGGGAGCTATGCCACCAGTGGCTGAGGCCCGAGACCCACACCAAGGAGCAGATCCTGGAACTGCTGGTGCTGGAGCAGTTCCTGACCATCCTGCCCGAGGAGCTGCAGGCCTGGGTGCGGGAGCAGCATCCAGAGAGTGGGGAGGAGGCCGTGGCTGTGGTTGAAGATCTGGAGCGAGAGCTCTGTGAGCCAGAGAACCAGGTGAGGAGAGGATGGCGGCTCCTGGGCAATGAACACTGAGGGCAGGGTGACATTTGGTGACCCGGCTTGGTTGGCTGTGGCCAAGTGCTAGTCTGTGTCACTGTGTAACAGATCACTCCCAAGCCTTAATGGCTTAAGAAAATAAATATTATTATCTCACAGTTTCTGTGAGTCAGAACTTGGGGAACTACTTATGAAGCGCTCTCATAAGTTTGCAGTGAAGGTATCAGGCAGTTTCTGTTGCTTATCTCCAGACCTGACTGGGGCCAGTTGGGCTGCTTCCAGGATGGCCTTCAAGCATGGTGACTGACTGGAGGCCTCGGCTTCTCGCTGACCATCTTACAGGAGGTCTCAGTTCTTTGCCACATGGGTTTCTGCCTCAGGCTCAATGAGGGTCCTCACAACATGTCAGCTGCCTTCCCCAAGAGAGACAAGGGAGAGATGAGGGTGAAGCCACGTGCTTCTTATATCTGTGTCAGGATCATTTACCATCACACCTACCACACAGTCTATCCCATAGCAATGAGCTGTTAAGTACAGTTCACACTCCAGGGGAGGGAGACTTAGGTCAGGTGTTAAAGGAAGGAGTATCAAAAAACTCGTCAATGTATTTTAAACCACCACTTGACCGTGGGCAACTCTTTTTCTCACCGTCTGCTCATGTGTAGTTAAACTCCAGGCCTTCCACTGTGCGGTTTCTCTACAGAGTGCTTCATCTGGTTCCCTGTCGTCTCTCTCATTGGTATTAGCTTGTGCTCTTTTAGGCCTTTCTTATGAACCCAAGCATACCTTTCTGCCTGCAGGCCCCAGACCATAAGCAGAGGCATTCAGAAGTGCACTCCGAAGATGTGGTTCACCCGAAGGCCAAGCAGGACTCAACAGCCATCCAGCTTCAGGCCATGGTGACACAGCTCAAATGTGAATCCTTCGATCCCCACAAATTTGGAGAACAAGGTAAGGATGTTGATGGCCCATGTAGGAGACCTCTGGTGGCTCTATTGGGTTATCTTAAGACTTCGAACTCTGGGGCCAGATTCCCTAGGTTGGAATTTAAGTGTAGCCATTTAGTGCTTCTTATGACATTAGGCTGGTCAGATAACCTGCCTGTGCTCTCCGTTTATGCATCTATAAAATGGGATAACCATAGTGTTCCGGTCATAGAGTTTTTTGAAGATTTAAAAAGTTGTTATAGGGCCTCCCTGGTGGCGCAGGGGTTAAGACGCAACCTATGAAGCTGCCCGCAGCCTCTGCAGCACGAGTTCGATTCCCCAGCCATCCAGGGAGCAACCTACAGACCTCTCCTGACTTGCCTGCTGCTCCCCTCAGCAGTGTATTTCAGTCAATCTGCCTGTTCTGCTCCCTTCTCTGTCTCTGGTGAATCCTCTCACCCCCTCACACCTCTGGCCTGTACCCCAGCTCTTGTATGCATAAATAAATAAATCTTTAAAAAATAAATAAAAATAAAAAAAATAAAGAGTTGTTATATGTGGAACACGTAGAACAGTGCCTGCTTTGTAGAAAGCACTCTGTAGTGCCACCTTCCACACATCCTTTCTGGGAGCCTCGCCTTCCCTGGGTGACCCCCACCACATTCCAGCAGTGCCAGTGACCTCTTACTCTGCTGGTCTTAATAGCCACATTCAGCCTTTCTTTATATTACACTATTGGCTGTGATTCCTACAAGTATGTGTTTGATGTGCATCCTTCTATTTCCCACTCTGTGAGTTATACTCCTTCATAAAGGAAAGAGATAACCTTATTTGATCCATTTATTATTGCAGATGGTAAAACTGTGTCTGAAAATCGGGAGTTGGCATCAAAACAAGAAGTATTAAAAGAAATGGAATATTTTGGGAATAGCAGACTCCAAAGAGATGTTCCTTTGGATTCGAAGTGCAGAGAAACTTGTAAACCTGAGAGCAGGGTAGAAAAGCCGAGAGGACACCATCCTGGAGAGAGACGCCATAGGTGTGGTAAATGTGGGAAAAGCTTTACTCAAAGTTCAGTTCTTGTTCAGCACCAGAGAACCCACACTGGGGAGAAGCCATACGAATGTGAAGAATGTGGGAAGACCTTCAGCCAGAGGTCAGGCCTGATTGAACATCAGCGGAGCCACACTGGAGAGAAGCCCTATCAGTGTAAGGAGTGTGGGAAAGCCTTCAGTGCCAGCAATGGCCTCATTAGACACAGAAGAATCCACACAGGGGAGAAACCATATGAATGTGAAGAGTGTGGGAAAGCCTTCCGCCTCAGCTCATACCTTGTTCAGCATCAGAGGATTCACACTGGAGAGAAGCGCTATCGCTGCAAGGAGTGTGGCAAAGCCTTCAGTCAGAATGCAGGGCTTTTTCAGCACCTTCGAATCCACACAGGTGAGAAGCCCTACCATTGTGGTCAGTGCAGTAAAAGCTTCAGTCGGCGAACGCTCCTTATCAAGCATCAGAGAAGCCACACTGGAGAGAGACCTTACGAATGTGATGAGTGTGGAAAAGCCTTCAGCCATCACTGCAACCTCATTAGGCATTTTAGAATCCATGCTGTGTCCAAACTAGACTGAGTCCATGGATCCTCCAGACCCTTTAGTGGGGGCCTCTTGGAAAGTAAGATTTTCAAGAGCTTATTTTGTTCCTGTCAAATTTATTTTATTTTGGAATGAGAAGGTTGTCTTCATAGCAGGTGCTGGAATCCTGGGGTGGGTGACTGATGTGGCCTGTGTCAGGCTGCCTCCATCTTCCCTACCCCTTGATTTATTTCTAATCATTTCCCTTATAGGGGCCAAGTCTTATCCGAAAGTAAACTGGAATGCAGGGGCTGTTGTTGAGTTTAATACTGAATATTGAACAACTCTCAAAGGCTACAGTCAAACTCTGAATCAGAATTTCAAAAGACAGCATAGTTTCAGATTGGGCAAGTGCAAAGGTTACTCAGAGGTGAGGTTGGGGTGTTCTTTTGCTTTTCATTTTTTGCTTTCTGTAGAAGTTATAGTCTAAACATACTTAAGAGTTTTGGGAATAAGAATCATTCCCATTCCCATAGGAGGTCATCATCTTGGTCCTCCTAAGAATGGGATGGGTGATCTCTTTGGTGCTGTCACTGGAAGCGGTGGCATACTTAGTAACCAAGCCACATTATCAATGGCGTGAAACCTGTAGTCCCCAATGCTTTAGAAATCTATGTCCTCTTTGATATCAAACTCCAGGTTCTCAGTGCAGGTCATTACCATATTTAAGATTTCCAGCTTTGTGATAAATAATGAAGACGATGCTTTAAAATCTGTTTTATTCTGAGCCTTTTCTGTCATTATCTGCCACTGCCTTCTGGAGGAGAGCTAGCAGTCTTCCATGCTACTGCAAGCAGCCTCTGTAAAGAAAAGGTGCCTCCAACCTTGACTGTCGCTGGTTTGGGGAGACCAGCAGGCTGAGGCCACTGGCTTAAGCACACAAGCTCCGGCACCAAACCACCTAGTATTCAAACCCGCCTCTTTGTGAGCCGTGTGACTTTGGGCAACTTATTTAAATTCCCCATGATATAGTCGCCCTATCAGTAAAATAGGGGGTAACAATACCTTTGTCATAGGGTACCTAAGATTAAACTAATTCAAACTTGTAAAGCACTGAACATTTAGCTCTCAGTAAGTGTGCAGTACACTTTACAGATGAAGGCAATACTCTTCTGAAGACTAGGTGGAGCTGTGTTGTGTTTGCACTGAGTGGGACATTAAATGCCTCTGCTCATGGTCTCATTATACTTCTCTCTACAGTCAAAAGCTGAATCAAAAGTTCAAAAGACAGGAAATAAAAGTTCAGCTTAAAAGTATACTATGCTAGAACTTTGTCTTCAAAGTTTATTTAAAAATAAAGGCGCATATGTGTGGGTGTGTGGGTCTGCATATGTATGTGTGTCCATATGCATTTGTCCATGTGACTTTGCTTAGGAATCACAACTGAAAAAAATTCCTTGGTTATTTTATTTGTGACTAGAATGATTAGATTTTCAGATTATCTAGGGTCATACTGAGTTTTAGAGTAACTACACGTCACTTGGCATCTTGTTAAAATACAGAATCTAATGTAAAGGGTCAGAATGGAGTCCTGGAATCTGCCTTTGAATAAGATGCCCTGCTGGCTCATGGGATGCACCTGAAGCCTGCCCTCCCTGCATGGATCTCCACCTGCCTCACCTGAGGAGAGTGAGGTGCCTTAAGGTACAGTGGGCAGGTAGGTTTGGGGAGCAGGGCAGTGCCCTCTCCTCTGACACAGGCAGATTCAGCCGCATTTTTACCTGGGGAGTCTAAGCAGTGCTTCGAAATGTTGGGGAACAGCCACTATGCCTGAGCGGCTGTTCCTGCGCCTCCATACACGTGCTCCCAGGACGCTGCTCGTAGTTGTGAGCACTGGGCACTCTGAGCACCTCTCCCCGAGATGTCCTCATGTGGGCTGCACACTTGGCTTCCACGCGAACGTCCGCGCAGTCCCTGTGGACTCCAACCCGTGTCAGGCCGCTCCTCTCTCACCTCCTCAAAAGGCCAAGTACAGAAGAGAAGCCAGTTACAAAACAGGCCAACAGGAGAAAAGGGGGGGGGGCTCCCGATGTGTGACGGGGAGCCTGCAGTGAAGACACACTGAAGGGAGAATCTGGCAAGGTTCTTTTTTTTTTTTTTTTTTTTTTTTTTTTCAGATTCTGTTTCACTGATCTGGTCCACAGCGTTCTGGTAGCTGCTGCCACCCCTTCCCTGCATTCAGCCTCATGACCGTGACAGAGGGATTTGCAGAGCCCAGGTCAGAGGCACACCACGAGATGTAGGGGCTGCTTGGGTGGGGAGGGAGTACCCTGTCAGCTTCGGCCGGCAGGCCCTGTGGAGAGGCAGGGTGCCCAGGAGTGAGCAGCCCAGCGGGAGAGAAAAACAGGCACCATAAGCAAATGGTAAGAGTGTTGGAAGAGGACAAAGTGCTTTGGGAACAGAAAGCAGAACAGGATTGGGGGAGAGGGGCTTCATGACATAGGAGGCCAGGGGAAGTGTCACTCTGGAAGCATTTGGGTGGCGATTTGGAGGAGGTGAAGGGGTCCACTCAGTGCTATCTGGGAGGAGGGTGTTCCAGGAAGATGGATTTGGCCCAAGGTATGGAATCAAGACAGCCTCCCTGCTAGGCTTGCCCTCACAGTCACCCTAGAAGAGGAAGCCTGAGTAGGCACCTGTCGCCGACTCTCGCCGAATCAGCAGCATGAACAGTGTGCTCATGTCGCGGGCAGGTGAGGCGGCAGAGCCTGTGTACCAGGTGGACTCTCCATCCAGTGCTCTTGCCTGCTAAGTGCCTGGAAACTTTGTTTTCCCACCTGGAAAACTGATATTCTCCCTTAATGGAGAAGGCACAGTGATGCCACTTACCTAGGTGTTGGGTAATTATTTTGAGTGATGGGGTGTGTCCTCCAAGCTGGGCTGGGCTCTTTGAGGTGAGGTGATGATTGGGTGTGGGAGCTGGAGAGGGAGGGCACTTGGGGGGCAGCCAGCCTGCTAGACAGAAGGCTGGGAAAGTGGGGGAACTGGAGAAGGGGAGACAGGGCCAGGTTCCTTGGTAGCACCGTGTGGCTGTTCCTACCTGGCTGTGTGACTGTGGACGAGTTACTTCCCCTCTCTGTGCCCGGGGGAAGACCAGCCGTCAGGGGCCGCCATCTCAGGAGATCGGGCAACACAGGCAGCCCTTCCCAGGCCTCTTCCTGCCTCCCAGGTCACCAAGTGAAATCCATTTGTGGAGTCGGCCGGGGCGGGGGGGGCGGTCCCAGGCTTCGGGCTTCTTTCTGGAGGCTGAGGAGGCGAGTCCTACTTGCCTGTTTGTCCCGATGGACCCAGAGCGGGAAGCCGCCGAGATGCCAGCGTCCCGGTTGCCTAGAGACGCGGCGGAAGTGACCGCGGGGCGGGGCCGCGGGGTCAAGGGCACCCAGATCCCAGGTTCCACACGCGGTGAAAGCCTGGGAGGGCGCTCGGTGCCGCCCGGGGCGGGGGTCCCCGAGGGGCGGGGGGCTGGAGCGGGAGGGGGCGTGCGCTTGGCTTCAGGCTAAAGTCCCACGAGTGCGCGGCGGGCGCGGCGGGGTATAGCGGCCGTTTCGGGGTAACCACGACGCCACCTACGCTGGTAGCGCTGATCGCGCGAGCCGCGACGCTCAGTGCTTGGCGGGGAGGGGCTTGCCCGACGGGAGACGTCGCCTGGGACTCGCGCCGTTTGCATGGTTAGGACCCAGGCTGCGGGGCGGGTGCGGCCGCCCGAGCACAAGCGCAGGACACAGCAGGTTTACGTTTTTTAAAGTTTCCTATTACAGAGAATATAAAGCACTGACAAAAGTTGAAAGACTAGTGTTAAGGAACCTTACAGACCACCCACCTCTAACAGTGAGCAGCTCAGGACCAGCCTGGTTTCAGGAATATCCATACCCACTCGGCCCTCCCTGGCTATTTTGAAGCATATCTCAGACAGCGCATGTTACCGGTCATTATTCCCGTAGGTTTCTCTGACAGACATGTAAAAATATAGCTTTGATACCTTATTACCTAAAAACAAGTTACTCCTTTTATCATTTCACATCCAACAAAGACTTCACATTTCCAGTTTTTATCAGTGTCACCATTTTTAAAAATGTTTGCTTGAATTAGGATCCCCGTGCCTAACAATGGCTGATCGGTTTGTTTCTTTTCATTAGATTCACCCTGACTTTCTTTGTTCCTCCATTGTGTTAGCCGGGAGGGGGAGCGTGGGGGGTGGGGGGATGGAAGAGACTGTTTATCCTGTAGTTGTCTGCAGTCTCCATCTTGATGGGTGCCCGGGTGCAGTCCCTGCACATCGTTTAGCATCTTTCTCTCTGAACATCCTGGGAATTTGTGGTTCAGTCTAAAAGCTTAAATATCATCAGGTTCAGCCTGTTTGACAAGACCACTCCATCAGGGGGTCGTGTTCCTTTAGTGAAATGATGCATTTCTATACCATTATTGGCCGTTTGTGTTTTGTCCTGTGTGAATGCCTTATTCATATCCTCTGTCCGGTTTTCTTTTGAGTTTTTTAACTTTCCCTTATTAGTGGGTAAAAATTCTTTATGTTCTGTATATTCCTCCTCATATGTGTGTGTGCACGCACTCACACACATGTGTCTGCTGTATTTTATTTTTTTTAATTAGGGCTACCTCTGAAGACAAGGTGCTCAATGGGGGTCTCCCTGAACCCCAGATTCCAACAGAAAGAACCTCCTACTAAATCAGTGAAGCACAGACGATGGAGAGCCAAGGAAAGACCCTGCTGTGGCCAGGCCAATCCCCTCCAGGACAGAGAAGGACCACAAAAGTCAA